ATGAAAACGACATAATTGAAACAGTTTTTAGGGAAGAGATTAATGAAAAAGAGGATGAAAGAATGGACGATAAATATGTGTCAAGAATCTGAGGAAAGAGAAATTAAAATTGATGTGTGGAGAAGAAAGAGAAAATGAGTTGCGTTTGATATTAAAAAAATACGAAACGTTGATAAATGAGGAAAACAGAGTGGCCAGCAAAGTACGAACATTCATTTGAGGTAAAAAACTTGGAAATTTTCGATCGAAAACGTACCCGATTCCATATAAGTATCGACAACAGGTGAAAGAAGAAATTAATAAAATGTTGGAAGATCAAATAATTGAACGATGTGATTCACACCATATTAATCCAATTGTAATAGTAAAGAAAAGCAGTGGAGAATTGAGACTATGTTTAGATGCCAGAAATATCAACCAGCACACGGTATCACAATATGAATCACCTCTAAAACATCGAGGCCATGTTGGAAGAATAACAGGGTCACACATATTTTCTAAAATTGATTTAAAGCATAGTTTTTGGTTGATACCTTTAGCTGAAAAATGTAGAAACTACACCGCTTTCTCAATTGATGGTATTGTCTACAGATTCAAGGTAGTGCCTTTTGGTTTACAAAGCGCTTGTGCAGCACGGTACGGGCTTACATTCGATTTTAAATCGATACGAAGATTTCATAGTCCATTACATCGACGATTTTGTTGATTTCACGAGATGTACAGAGCCATATGAAACATATAAAAATAATTCTGGAAGAATGGATAGAGCGGGATTAAAATTAAACATCGAAAAATGAAATTTTTCCAAAAGGAAGTAATTTATCTAGGTTTCAATTGGACACTAAAACAGTCAGCCTAGCCGAAGATCGAGTCAAGCTCATTGATGAATATCCAAGACCAACCAATTTGAAAACATTGAAGGTTTTCTTGGCACGATCAATTATTTTAAAAAACTAATTCCCGATTTAAGCAGAAGGAAATTCCTCTAATAAAATTACTAAAAAAAGGGATAAAATGGAATTGGAAAGAAGAACAGAGAAGGCGTTTCAAATATTAAAACAAGAATTTGCGAAAGGAACGAAAAATACCACCCCAATTATAATCTACCATTTATACTCCGAACTGATGCGTCAATACAAAAATTTGCAGGAGTTTTGTCACAGATACAAAACGATCAAGAAGTGCCAATATGTTTTATATCTCGAGTGACAAAGACTCACGAAAGAAAATATAGCGTGACAGAATTGGAATTTGCCATGTACTATTTTGTGTAAACAAATTAAGATATTACTTATTGGAGCCAAATTCACAATCGAGACGGATCATGCCGCGTTGATTCACATTCATGAAGAACCGATTGGTGAATAATCGATACAGAGAAATTCTATTATTACAGGAGTACGATTTTGAATTCCGGTATATCAAGGGAAAAGACAATATCATAGCCGACGCACTAACACGGGATAAGACACGGAAAAAAAGGAAGCAATTACGTTACATGTGGGACTAAAATCTTGACAGAAGAAGAAGGTGTATTCTCATTAAATGAAATAAGAAAGATCAAGGAGAATTAGAGGAAAAAGAAAAAAGAAGAGCGGAGATGGAAAACGACATATATTTCAAGAGAATAGACCGAAGGGAACTATATTTGGTGACACAAACATTGGCAGAAAGATATAAAGAAATTGCATGAAGACAATGGACATATCGGCAGCAGAAAAGTTTGGCTGGTGTTTCGAGAAAATTATATTTGCCGACAGGATTACCGCATTACAAAGGAGATTACACAAAAGTGCCCGATCTGTCAAAGTATAAAATTAGGAATTTCAAGAATGAAAACGTTACGAAAAATATTATATCCCGAACAAATTAGATATTGTAGCAATAGATAAATTAAGCGATCTAATTATGACAACGAAGAGGAATAAACATGTTTTAGTCATGATAGATTATATTTCAAAATATGTAAAATTATACAGTTGCCGGACCACGAAAGGCGAAGAAATAATGAGAAACATCGACAATTTTATAGCCACCGTAAACAACCAAGAAGGATTCTTTCTAGACAATGCAACATACTTCAGGAATGATCGTTTCAAGGGACAACTTCGAGAACGGGGAATAGAAACAAATTTTGTTAGCATCATACATCCTCAGAGTAACCTTCGAACGATGTATACAGGAAGTGACGAAATTTCTTTCGAATTACAACAGATGGTCAACATCGACGATGGGATCGGAAAGTGTCCGAAGTAGAAATGTATTTAAATACCATCCCAAGCACCGTAACGAAAGAAACCCCAGAATATATAATGAAAGGGATAATGCCGATAAGGCCATGGGAAGATATAAAACAAAAGGAATACACACAGATAATGGAAGATGTGCAAAGGAGATTGCGGAGAGCAAACGAAAAATATATCCAGAGACAAGATCAAAATAGGAAAAGAAGACCAGTTACTTTCCCAAAAAGGTGAGAAGGTTAATGGTGAGAAGCATTGCGAGTGTCCAACATCCCTGGCAATGTATGCGCAAATTAATGCCTGTTTTTGAGGTCCTTACGTAATAAACAATGATAATGGTATAAATAGTTATGTTTTGAAGCATTTGATTCAGACAAGATTAGGGGAATATAAATATCAACGATGTTTATAAATATTATGAATAAGAGACAAAGAATGTTTGCATAAGAGAAAAATCCCTACATAATTCAGTAATTTTTATCATATGCAAAGGCGGGGATTTATTATACTTCTTCTTCCACAAACGCGGAAGGAACAAAATAATTAAGGAATCCATCGGAAGTAAGTTTTTAAGAAATCTGAAGACAAAATATGTATTAATTTTAAGATAGAAAGTTTGTATATTTGTAAATAGATAGATTAGTACCGAAATTTTATGACTTATAAAGAACTAAGCCATTCTAAACGAGTTATTGACAAACCATTTGTACATTATAGAAAATAAGCTGTTACCTGAAGGATTAGTCCGGTATTGTGTTGTATAAATCTTCTATTATGACTAAGGCAAAAATCTTTAAATGTATAAAAAATTTTTGTTTACAAGAAATGACCATTGTTAAAAGATTAAAGTTCCTGCTTGAAAACGGTAATTAGCATTCCAACAAGTGTGGTAAACAAATTTGGATTTTGTGATGAGACGATCTTTTTGGAAGGGAAATCGACAGACCGAGGTTGATAGAGTTTTTGTTGGTTCGAGAAGACAGTGATGTTTGAGTGATCGAAAAGAAAGGTTGCGTCTCGACAGGCGGTGTGTTCGTGAGTTGGAGGCCGGCATTGTTAAGTGGATAAAGTTACCAGTCTTGTTAGCAGAATTGTGGAAGAAGTAGATTGCAAGTCGATGTAAAGAAATCCTTGAATCTAAAGTGTGCAGTTTCTGGAATACGTGTTAAATAGTTGTGGCACCAGGTGAGAAAAGAGATCCTTGGGTCACGAAGAAGTTATATGAATGTTTGAAGAAGTGATTTTCGTGTGTTAAGTGTTGGAGAATTGAGTCAGGAGGTTAAATTAATCAGTTAAATTGGCTGAAGGAGCAGATACTGAAACAAGAAGCCGAGGCGCAAGGTGGAAGAACACATTGCTGTGGAAGGTGGACAATTCTTTGTGTGGTCCTAAAACAATCCAGGAAGAAAGGTCAGATATTTTCCTTTTTAAAGTTGAAAGGTGTGTAAATCTTAAATGCGATTTGTTTACCTCATTGTTGTTACCAGTTTAAAGCATGATTAGACCTTTTTACATTTATCAAATGTTTTAAAGTTTTGTTTCCATAATAAAATAGATTTTTTAAATATAAGGAAGATAAAAGTTTATAAAGGTATCCAAATTTAAATTAGTTTCAAATTGTTTTTGTCTCAAGAAGAAAATAAGAATTAAAATTTTCTTTTTGTATTAATTTCATTACATGCATATTCGCTGATTGAAAAGATAACGGCAAATTTAATAATTGTTTTTTTTTTATAAAATAAAAAATATCTGTATTTTATGTATTATACTTTTTGTTATTATCCTTTGTTTTTCCTATCCCGATAAATACAACTAGAAAACTTTGAACTCACTGAACATAAGAAATATCAGAAGTTTATTTTTTAGGACATTGATAACGAGAAAGTATATTTTTGTGATTGTTTCAAGTAAATAAATTAAAATCAAAAATACAAAATCATAACAATATATATATATATATATTCAGGGATTCTACAGTATTCACTGCCTCTGTTCCCATTCTCCATCTTTTGGGCCTCTTTTACTTCATTCAGTTTACATATCAAAATCAAGGAAGCCAAAATGATGGTAGTTTAAAAAAAATTGACAGCAATTGTAGACAATTAGTAGTTAATAAACAGGTCGTTAAGCAAATTTCGCGGTACAAATATCTTGGAACTATTGTCAACGAGGCTAAGCAACATGCGAAGAAATTCGTTCACGCATTGAACAAACACGAGTTGCGTTCATCAAAATAAAAAAACTGGCAACAGAACTTTTTTTTCTGTGACGTTAAGAATTAGAATGATTAGGTGGTATGTGTTTTCCATAATACTATAAGATGTGGAGAGGAGAGATGTATACAGGAGTGTTTTTAGAGTCTACTGGATCGATAATCATAAATCAGGTAGTGCTAGAAATACTGACTATTGAAGCTGAAGCTATATTATTGCAACTGTTTATAATGCAAGAAAAGATTGTTGAACGGAAAAGCGTAAGACGTAGAAGAATTTCTTGACTACGAAACCTTTGTGAAAGATTTGTTATGACATTGGTCGTATTATTCCGTGTAGAAGTTTTGAAAGTAAAATAGCAATGTTGAACAGTAATATCTACAAACAAGAAAAAGAAGAATACCTTGTAGAAAAAGTATATTAGTATATTAGTAATAATATATTGATACAATGTAAAAAACTTCTAATCTATATCTGCTAAATATGTTGAAGCGAAATTGTACGAACTGTTTTTTCGACGTTTCAATGGTTTAACATTTCTTACCTCTTTAAGAACCTCATCATTGGCAGCATCTCCTGACCTCATAGCGCACACGACATATTCGATGCTTGTATTATACGAAGCAATGTCGATTGCACACGACTGAACTTTGTTACCATAGCATTCCCGTTCTTTGTGCTGGCATGTAAAGGTCCATGTACCATTATCATTTTTTGTCGCCTAAAAGACAAGTATCTACATGTATATTACATAATTAAGCAATAAAATGCAATACTATATGTTGTCAAATGAAGAGACAATCATAATATGATGAGTTGTTTGCAAAATAGTCTTAATACAAAGGTACAAAAAAAATCAGTTAATTTTTTAGTATGATAATTAACTTGTTTTCTTGCGAATATCTAGCATATTCTATTAAAAATGAAACGGTAAAGGTCGCAGCTTATTATCATGCAGGTATAGTTTCCGGCACGTAGCGTTTCCATTCCAGCAATCGGACTGCGCGTTCATATTTTGCTCTTCTACTTAACGATAAAGAAAGAAAAACTGTAGTAAAAAGAAGGTTGAAATACATCCAATGCTAAGAGAAAGGAAAAAGAAAGGTGAATACTGGAGTTTATACAAAGAATTAATTGATGACGATAAAAAATATTATGGATATTTTAGAATGAATAGGATTCAGTTTGAATATATTTTAAATTTAATCACACCTGTAGTTAAAAAAACAAAATACTATATTTAACGAATCCATACATATGAAGCCAAAGAGTATTTTTAAAAAAGAAGAAGTGTCACTTTCGTGCAAAACTTCTAATTGTCTATCACTGTCGTGTTTAATTGTCACAAAGCAATGAAAATACGTGCATAAATGACAAAATAGCCTAGAAAATTATTTTTTCAAATACACTGTATCAAAATTAAACAAATACCTAAATAAACAACTAGGGGAAAACGACGGACATTTAATTCACATTTTTCATACCAACCGGTTACGACTTGTTACGTAGCAGTCGGCATCAGTAAAATATTGTTTTCGAATATACTGAACGGAAACGTTCGGTGTCTGTTACGATAAGTTCCGGACAGTGTGAGTTGTTCATATTTAAAACCATTTAAATGATATTTTTCGGAAACTAAACGCTACCTGCTGGAAACGCAACGAGCACGATAATATGACACGACCTTAAAAAGTCATCTCGGTCTGATTCTAAAGTATCTTTCAAAGCAAACTGATGTATATATAAATGATAAGCATACTGAAGAGAAAGTTGTATAGCTATCAAGGCTGCAGTGCATATATAAATATCTGGAACTTCTTCGTTTTGCAAATAGCGTTCTTTAAATCTTTTTAAAGCTCTAGAAATGCAGTCTAAGTTGGTCCCATGACGATTTTTAATATCCAAGTAAATTAAAAATTTGTCTTGCTAATTCTAGGGTTATCTTTTCAATAACTTTTGCGATATCCAAAATATTGTTTCTAAATTAACTTTAAATTTAATGAACCGAAACTTTGATTTAGGAACCAACTTACCGTTGCTTTTCCAAAAGGCACCAAATCCACTTTTATCTTGTTCTTAAGTACAGTACTGTAAGCAGGGTAGAACTGATTTTTGAGAAATGCAATACTATCGGGACACAAAGATTCATAGTAGATGCTAACTTTTAGATCAGTAGCTTGTACCTGAAAAAAATTAAGAATTATTAAATAACATAAGCTATATAAAGATGTCGCTCGATCTTCACAGATGTCGCTGCCGCAGTACATAATATTTCCTTGTTAATAATAGGGTTTAGATACCTAGAATCATTTGCCAATGATATGTGTGGATGTAAGAAATTAATTCATATAAAAGTTTAACTATAGGAAGTCACGTATAAGTCACTTATATTCCCATTTCTGTAATTACAAAATTGGCAGAGCGTACAGATCACGATGGAAGTAATTTTTAGTAAAATAATTCAATTCTAAAAAAAAACAATGAAATAACAACGCCGCTGAAATTGTAAAATTTCTCAACAGTTGGTATTTTTAAAATCTATTCTTACCATTGAATCACCCTCTCTGGTAAATTGTTTGACTGTAATATAAACTATCACGACTTATAATTAGAATTAGAGATTAGAACAGTTTGGTCCTTCCACCATTTCATATTTTGTTTTCAGTCCTTGACCGTATCACCTGGTATTTCAGGTGGCAGCTGGTACGTAGTAGAATATAATCATCTAATACCATCTGGGTGAAATGAATCCTGATTCTTTAGAAAATGTCCTGCCAGTGTAGAATAGCGACAATTTTATTATAAGTAAAATATTTAGTTTCATAATGAAAATGATTATATAATATATTCCTCCGGCATAACATACTGCAGTTGTAAGTTATTCAGTGAATGAAAACAAGAATTACATACTTGAATCATTACTGAGCGATTTTTATGTTTTAATGAATGAAATAGTGATTAATTTTACCGTTGAAAATGAATCCATTGTTGAAAACATCTTATTTATTATTGATTAAAGTTTTAACACTAATGTTTTCGTATTCGCGGCCTATAAACTATTTTTGCGCTTGTACCTATATTAATAAATTATGCTGTAGACGCTTTGTATACAATAAAAAGTTCACTGTTTATACATAAAAATCCCCGAATTCTCAGAATCAGCATCAATAATCGTTGTTTAACATAAACATTCTTATAAACAGCAGTAATGTAATCAAGAATTACCAAAACGATTAGACATTATTTTGCTATTTTGCGAGAAATTGATTTCGTATTTCGTGACCGTGACTACTGGAAATACCAATTATCGGGAATTTTTTTAAGGTTTATTATATAGCTAATGATACTTACGTACTTAAGATTGGATTAATAGGATACTTATATGCATTCATATGAATGCATAGGAAAAGGAGAGTAAGAAATAGGAAAGACTGGAAAAGGAATAATCCAGCAAGTCGTGGACCAACTGAAGTCTAAAGGGCATAGGCGCAAAATGTCGCCTGTCGAAATGTTTAATGCGTTTTAAATACATCAATTTTTTCGAATTCTGAGAAAATTAATACTTAGTGGGCCGAAAGTCCCTTAGAATAACCAAAAAGTTTCTGTTGAATAAGATATTTAAAATTAAGTCACACAGAATTTTCTCTTTTCTTTTCACCCCTGTAACTAATTAAAATAAACATAGAAGTTTTCAGGGACTTTCGACCCACGATAATAAAGTAATTTTTCAAATATACTTATTAGTTTTCTCAGGATTCGAAAAAAATTAATACATTTAAAACACATTGAACATTTTGACAAGCGACATTTTGCCCTTAAGGGCTAATGTACATTTGTAGATTTTTATGCGATTTAAGATTTTTTAAACATAAATTATACGAAAATTGCTATCTTTAACTTGCTACCTTTGTCTTAATTTTATAAAAATCAATGATAATATCTGCGGGACTGATGCACTTAATATAATTGTTTATTGAAGTATTATATTTCAGTGAACTGTGATTTAGAAATATTTTTATGATATTTTTATCCGATATAAATGGAAGATACGAAACAATTTTAATTCAAATTATAGTTTAATCCTATGATCTTAATTGTTCTGTGTAAAGAACTATTATAGAACAAAAGATTATGCAGATAACAATTTTATCACATCGTAGTTTTGCAATAAGATATAAGTCAGACAAAATTATCCATTACAAAAAATTATCAATAAAAAAATAATAAATTTAAAATATTTAATATTTTTTTTGAGCAGTAATGACAAGCCGGTCCCAAGCCTGTATAAAAAATTGGAGTCCGAAGGTGAGGCTCTGCCTACCCAAACTGCCCATTTAAAAAGAAATGCGTTTATCTAATCGAAACAGACACATCAAAAACAACGTTGACGACAGAATTGACCTAAGACTTTGGAGGGATCGACTCCAACTCAGTGTCCAGATCGAGTACCTAGGAGTGGTCTTCACAAAAGCACTACACTGAAGATGCGATCTGGTAAAACCCGTAATAGGGTAAGGAGAAGAGTCGGTCTGCTCAACATTCTATACAGAAAATTTGGACGGACACATTCACGTACACTCATACACACATACACAACATACACCAGGCTCGAGATTGTGCTCGAGGGCATATATATGTTATGTTCAATCACAACCTAAGACGATAACTGCTAGGACTGAAGAGAACAATTGAGAGGTTCTCCTCTCTGAGCAGGAGTTATACGATTAAAACCATCAGAGACCAAAACTTCACAGCCCAAAACATAATCAAAACTACCTGCTCATGCTTTGGCAATGTATTCATCAGACTATATAAAGAAAACTACCTTTTTCCTCCTGACAAAACTGTTGGCCTCAGCCAGCAATGAACTCCCTGATGAATACGTTTACATCCTGGTGGTAACTCCACTTTATTATCGTAACTAGCTAAATAGCTTACTTCGAGCTCTGCCACAGACAAGGAGGGATCGGTTTTCTGTAAATCCCCGATCCTATTGCACAGGGAGGATACAGCGACAGCTGCCCTCAACGCGACATTTAAATTCATTTTACAATAGTTTATACATTTAAATTCAGTCATATATCATTCATAATCACTAACAAAACATAATTTCTGAAAAGAACCGTTTTAGCACCAACCCTTTTATTTCAGACTACCCTTCTCCGCAGGAATCAATATCTACCGAGCCAATACTACCAGTGAGACACAACGACTCCAGTGCCAAAAACCACGTCCAGAAGAGGTGAAGAGGTGAAAACAGAGAACGACACATTAACAAAGTAGCTAGCTTCATCTAATCGATTACAAAACGTCGGATAGGAACTGGGAATATTTTAAGAAGACAACCATGAGAAACTAGACTGGAAAGCAAGGAATTTGAGTCCAATAAACACCTGACCACCAGGAAGACCCTTTTTTGTCAATATAGAATCATCAAAATAAATAATAAATTGTTCTTTTACGTTAATATTCTCTATTATTTTAAAAACAATTTTTGTCGTCACATAGTCTGTCTACAATATATTGACATTTTTTTGTTGCGCATTTTAGAGACTTCTAACTAACAATGTCCCTATTTTTGACGTCTTTTTTAAATATCTAATTCGATTTAGTGCAGAAACTTAACTTTAACACATAAGTTTTTATCGTATCAATAATGACAACGTGGCATCAATTTGTATTACAACTATACAATTAATAGATACCAATAGATACGTTGAAAATATACCGTTTTTGTTCGAATTTTAATCATTTTATTGAACTAAACATTTCTATTGTATTTTACAAGTAAAATTGATAAAAACATTAATGAAAAAGGTACTTAAGCGTACACGCAGGAGAACAATAACATAGGTGGCTCCCTCTAAAAGACCCCTTCATATATAACTTACTGAAGACATTAGAGGCAATTTGTTAGAAAGTGCCAAATGCGTACATCTGAAAATTTGATTTTTGTGCAAATTGAATCTTAAAATGTCTCCCCTGTGGATTGTAAGATATATTACCAATAGGCGATCGGTTTACCCCTATAAGTTCCTCCATGCAGTGCATTCCTACTGCACTAAACCTTTTTTATTCGTCTTTATATTTTTTTCAAGCATAATTGTATTTTTCTTTTAAATTTTTTCAAGTGATCGGAAAAATTGTTACTAACAAATAACTTCGAGTTTGTATTTTGTAAACAATGTTTGTATTTCGAGAACGATTTCCGAAGTGGAAATTGAAACGTCAATAAATGTGCTTTACCTTTAATTGTGGCTTATTCCCATTAAATAGTAATTTCTTTAAAATGTCACAAGAAAATAACTTCAGAACAATATAATGAAAAATTTGATGTCGATAAAAATAGAAAAAGGAGAAACTGATGATAAAGTTTTCAGTAAAGTCACGAAAGAATGTCAGTGATGACATAAAATATGTAGTACCTAAATTAAAAGGAAATCTGTAAAAATAAAAGGCATACCAAATGAAGTCTTAAAATACAGACGAGAAACAATAATTAAAAGCATAGAGAAACTTTTTCAGGAAACAAACAATTGAAATCAAAACGTCTAAAACTCTTGAACGAAATTCAAACCCTTTTTGTATTTTAATTCTAATAAACTAGCAACTTAGTAAATATGTAAATATATAATTGGTACGAACAGGTGGGCATAGTGATAACATTTTGAGAGAATTATTTATCCATCTGCCGATGATCACATATTTGTAATATAGTTATATACGATATGTCAATATATTTCGGTGAACGTTAAAAGCGTATCAGCTGCTTAATTAGCAGTAGTTAAATGGTAACAAATTTGTAAGTAATTATACCTACGTTTAAAAACACATTAAGGAAGCAAGCCACAACGTATTTGCAAGAACGTAGTAATTGTGAAGTAAAGATGTGAAAGTAAGTACAAAAATATCAAAAATTAAACAAAACAGAATATGTAAGCGGTATTTGAAAGGTCTCTCGCAATTTGTAACGACGTAAAAACCCTACAACCACACCACAAGACAAGGAAGCTGATATTGAGGTTTTTATACAAAACCAACCAAGACAGGTTAATTAAATCCAAACATATGTCCAAATAGCCCGTAATGAGACAAACAACTAGTAGAATGACTCCTTTTATATATTCAAAATGCTACACATCCTAATAGATTGCATGAACAAGCAAGACAAATTCAATAGAAAAATCCTAGAAATACTTAATAGCATAGGAACTAATGGAAGAAAAAATAAAAGAGCTAAGAATATTATATTGAAACGCAAATGGCTTCTTCCAATATCAGCACAAGATACCCTTTACCTTAGACAACCAAAAAATAGATATATATATATATATATATATATATATATATATATATATATATATATATATATATTTTAATATCAGGGACACACTTCACAACATATATTAAACTAAGAGGATAATGTGAAATATATCAAGCTCGTCACCCAAGAAATATAGCCAGTGAAGAAGTAGTAGGAGAAGCAGGTTTTGCACCAAAACATAATACAAAAATAAAAAATTACGTCCAGTTGCTCAGCACACTTGGACAAAAACGTATTTATTATTTGTGCAGGCTTTAAAGTTAAAGGTTAACCAATACGAAGAAGAGAAAATTTAAATAGAAAATGGCACTCAATTGTAAACCTAACATTTTGGTTCACTGATAAAAATAAAACACCCATTTGTTGACTTTTTCATTACAAGTTAAAAGAAATTTTATGAATATAGAAGAAGCTGATGGTACCAGTTCTGATCACTTTCCAATAGTACTAACAATCGTTGAGCATAGCATATTAAACTATGAGAAAATAGCTCTACCTTTACAAATAACAAAATGAACTGGGCTACATTTGGACGGGAGTTAAGTGACATAATTGAGGAAATGTACAAATCAAAACTAATGAACAACTTGATAAAGAAGCAGAGAAACTATAATAAATATACAACAAACAGAATGGCACAATACCAAAATGTGCAAAGAAATGAAAGAGCCAGGAAAATGTGGCAAAAAAACAGATCTGCAGAAAATAAAAATATATTAAAGAACCTCAGCTAAAAGTTAAAGAGAAAAATAGATAACACAATTGAATGAGTAAGCCAATACTTAAACGATCTGACAGATGACCAAACAACTGACTACTCGTAATGGAAATGAAGAAAAAGAATAAATAGACCAACGTAGCAGATTCCGCTGATTATAAAGAAGATTGAACACGAGCACGTGACGAAAAACAAAGAGCAAATCTATTTGCTTCATTCGTCCGTTCATAGAATGTATTCCAAAGTCAAATATTCCAAATGGAAAATAATCATCACGATGATGATGAGTAAAGATATGAGAGATATGCAACTTCATTGTTTACAATTAGATTACAAAGGTCTTCTTATGCATCTTCATAATTATTGTCTGTTATTTTAGTTTAACAATAGGTCTATTATTCTCGACAAATTTACTATCGTAAATTCGTTAATATATTTACATTATTAATGACGACACAATAAACATTTTGAAGAGGGACTAAAAGATATTGATGAAGGCATCTCAATAAATGTAGTCAAGCTCAATAACCTGCGGTATACAGATGATATAGTAGGGTTTTCTAATGCCATAGAAGGGCTGCAAAACTTAATGAACAAAATAACGGAAACAAGTAGAACATATGGACTGGATATAATAAAAACCAGCAAAACCAAGCTAATGATACTCAGCAAGTCGTCAAACATAACTGGAGTAAGTCTGTATGTGGACCAAATGAGAATTGAACGTGTCTCACAGTATAACTACTTGGGAACTTTAATCAATGAGCCGTGGGACAATACCCAAGAGATTAAATGTCGCATCGGAAAGGCAAAAAGTTCTGTGTTCTGTGCTCAAAAGAGCTCTGTGTTCAAGAGCTATGACCTCACCGTAGGAAACAAAAATAAGGCTCCTTAAATGTTACGTTAAAATGCTGGTTAGTTTTAGGAGTATGTACATTATAGTTTATTCGTCTTCCGGGTTTGGACCGTGTCATTTGTGAGTGACCCAAAAGTGGGTTCATCTCGGTGAATCCCGGTGAATCCCGGGGAGGATTCACTCCCCGCCTCTCGACGCGTTAGTGTTCTGAGCTGTTGGACGTGAATCCCTGTCCTGGCATTTGGTTTTCACCTCTGGCTGCGTTGAGTAGTTGAGTTACTGTGACCAAATGCCCATCTTGGTAGTTAGTATTCGCCTCTGGTTGCGTTGAGTAACTGAGTTACCGTTGCTAACTACCCATCTTCCTGTTCTTTTGTTTTCTTTCTTTTTCTTTGTTCTCCTGAAGAAGCTACATACAATTGTAGCGAAACGTCGAGATGAACCCACTTTTGGGTCACTCACAAATGACACGGTCCAAACCCGGAAGACGAATAAACTATAATTCTGACTCTGGCCGTGGAAGCCTACGATTTCAGTATGTACATTGTTAATTTAATAAATTTTAAAAAATGTAAAAACCCTAACAGTTTCATAAAGAATACGAGAATTACAGATGAATTTAAAACGTAGAAGAGTGCAAAATGAATCGAAAAACTTGACAGGAAATGCTTATTTAAAAAATTTCGAGATACCTACTAAAATTTTGGTGTAAAATTTGTGCTAATATTGAAAGAAAAGAAGCGTCATTAAAAGGCGAAAATGGATAATAATATTATAGCATTAGCAGTGTTCAAGTTGAGCATATTATTAACATTTTGAACAGTAAAAATTATTACTATTTGTGGTTTGTCTATCTATCTATGTATTTAAAATTCCGATAAAAATTCATTTTTAAGAAAATAATTGGACTAATTGTTAAAATAAATACACAACTAGCACAACAAAACAAATAAAGTTTAATATGGACTTACGGAAATGCCGGCAAAACATAAAACAACAATCAAAACTGTGACACTTTCCATTTTATGTTTGTCAATAACGGCGGACAATTAGCAACTAGACGTTAAGTTAAACAAACCGCCTCGCTCGAACACGGGGCTCCATTATTAGAAGGGGCAAGTGGGGCACCTCATAATTGCAAGCATCACGATTCGCATAAGATTAGTAGACATATCATCGTTATCAAGGTCTTAGGTATTACATTGTTTGTATTGTACTAGGAATGACCACTTTGTAGCTGGGTACATGTGGTTTATTACGAAAGCAACAATGGTGGTAGGGAGTGGTAATGGTACCTATATAATATAATCTAATAGAGAAAAGATCGTTTTGCATTACGTTAATTGTTGAATTGAATTAAAGAGATAAATAAGAAATAATTAGTTAACCATTGGATTAATCATCTGGTCATAGTATATGGGACAAGGTGTTAAAATCGGGGGTTTTTACTGTTTGTCAACTTTATTTTATTTTTTTTTTTTTTTTAATATTTTTTACAATAAGAAGGCGCCTAATCTTCAAGATTAACTAGCATTTTTCTTTAAACAAATTTTCCTAAGATTGTTTGTAAACTAGATGTCATCTGGTCCATCCTAGCTTTTTTTGGCCTGAAATGCCCACTTCTTTGTTGTGCCTACACAGCACAGCACTGATTCTGCTTTTTGCTAACTGTTCACGTCCTTGTTGTGGCTACAATGCACAACTTCACAAATTACATAAGTTCGAACGGTTTAGTTCTCTTGAACTTTCGCCTCTGTGGTTGGTTGACAAGAAGTTGCAGTACTTCATGGTTGGGATGCTTATGGAGCCTCTTTTCGTATCTCCTGGCAACTTTCTTAATTTCATTTGGAGTAGATTCGACTTTAAAGTCTCTATGTAAATCGTCTTTCGAAACATACCAAGGAGCACTTACAATATTCGCTAGTATTTGGTCCTGGAGCGTTTCTAAATTTCTATAATTGTTTTTTTCTTTGGTACAGCTCCATAATTGTAGGCCATAAGTCTACATTGGTTTTAATATTTATTTGTAAATCAGTACTTTGTTCTGAATGAAAAGTTGAGAGTACCTACCTACCAGCCAATACATATTTTTGTACTTTCTCTTCAACTGTTCAGTTTTCTTTTTAACATGCTTCCTCCATTTGAATTTGACGTCCAGATTTGAACCCAGGTATTCCACAGTTTTCTTATCAGGAACGATGGTATTGTTTAAGATAATTGGAAGATAATTGATTTTCTTGTTAGTAAAGTTAATGTGAACTGATTTCTATTAATTAATCTATATACGCCATTTTTTCGACCAGCGTTCTATGCCATTAATTGATTTTATCGGTTACCGTAGATTCTTCTATAGTCGCTCCTATGGTCAAAACTGCTGTATCATCAGCAAATTAAGCTAGTTGAATGTTTTCTCTCCCCGGAATGTCAGGTGTATGAAAATGATATAGTACTGGTCAAAGAACGCTTGTAAAACCCCTGCGGTTTTTGGTTTTAAATCAGAGTAGTCATTTTTCATAGCTAGAAGAACGGGCACCATGGAACTATTGGTAGTAGAAGGAAAGGTAGAAGGCCGAAGACTAAGAGGAAGATCTCCAATATGATGGGTAGACCAAATGAAGAGTTTGGTGGGAAAATCCCTAGATGAAGCCGTCCATATGGCACAAGATCGCAGTCAATGGAGACAGCAGACTAACAATATTTAGGGTGTCACTACGCCCTGACAAGGGCTAAAGGATTGAGGAGGAGTCATTTTCCATTTTAACCCTAAATGTTCACTCGTGTAGGTATGACTGCAATATTTCAAACGAGTTACATAGGAAATATTTTTTTTAGCTTTATTAACAGGTCGTCGTTCCAAACTGTGTCAAATATTTTTGCGATATCCGTTAATACTGCTCAACAAATTTTGTCCCCATCCAATGTTTTTCTCTATTCTAGTTATTATTCGATGGATCTGGTCAATTGTGGAGTTTTTATCGTGATGTCCAAATTCTGTGTGTGTTGGAATAATATTTTTTTGTTCAATTATATGGTTCATTCTTCATAGTAGCAATTTTTCAAATCCCTTTAAGATTACGGATAGTAAGGAGATTGACCTGTGTATGACATTATTTCATGGTTATCTTGTCCTACTTTGGGTATCGCTATGACCTCTGCAGTTTTGCAAAGGATGGGAACATATCTAAGACTAAAAGATGCATTTATTATTGTAGTAAGCTTTACCATCGCTTTTCTATGTCATTTTTTAGTATCTTACAATTGATCAGGTCAAACCCAGGGCTTTTTTGTAATAAGTTTCTTGATTAACTTTTGTGACTTCTTTTATAGTAGTCGATTGTATGTTAAAAGAATCAGTATCTACTCGTTCATCGTCTACATGAGTTTGCCTAGGGTTTGGTTGAAATATATTTTCTAAATAATCAGCGAAAACTTCCACTCTCTCTTTGGGATTTCTTGCCTATGTTCTGTTTTCTTTTTGTAAAGGAGGTATATGTTGAACTGGCTTATTTATGTTTCTGGTAGCCTTCCAAAGGAAGTAATCGGTACATTCATCGTGAGTCAGTTTTCTCAGGTACTTACTGATTGATTCGTTTTTAATTTTAGCGATTTCGCTTTGCAGCTGTTATGTGAGCTTGATTAGCTTACTTTTATTTTTTAGTTATTTGAGTCCTCTGCTATATTATCCGAGCCTTTCTTTTTTTCTGAATGAACTCTCTAATGTCTTCGGGGTAATTGTTTCCTACTGTTTTTCTTTGGATTATGGAAGTGTTGTTCCACGCAGCCTGTTAGATGCTTATTATAAATAGCTCAGTTTCTCGTTCCAATTGTACTATCGTTTGAATAAATCCATTGAACTCAATTTTCTAATTCATTTCTGATTGAAAATGTACCCAGTCTGTAAACTTAATGGTCAACGCGGGTTTGACTGCATTGGTAATAATTTGCTCACTAATGGTTAATAGAATTGGAGAATAGTCAAATATAAGCTCCTCTACATCTTCTTTATAAAATTTGTTGCTACACCTCTGAATATGTTGCATCGCTTGGTCAGTAAGTGGTTTTACCAGTAGAGTGCCCATCTACATTTGTGTTCACTCATAACATGCTACAATTCTTTACATTTAGGTGTTGAGAGCCTGGAGCACCAGCAAGTATTTTTCCATTAAAGTCTGCGCCAACTATGTATTTTTATCCAAGATTGATAAAAAGTTAGCATAGTTTTCTCTTTTAATGTTATGGATAGGAGGAAAATATCCAGCTGCAATGTTAAGTGTGCATTTTTTGGTTTTAAAACTGATAGAAGCACAATATTTCTTCAGTTTCAACTTTTTCTGGTTCCCAGTGGAGAATATTATTTTTAACAACGACAACAGCTCCAACTCTGGTTAAATTTTGTGGATATATGGCATTATTTAATAATCTTGCTGTATTCCATTGGACTATCCTAAGGTGAGGGGGCATTCTAGTCTCATTTAGATCGGCTTCTGTTGTTTTTAAGTCTGACCCGCCTTTCTTCTTCTTATGGTGCCCTATCCAATTAGGTGATATTGGCGACAATTCTGGCATACTGCTCTCGATTTTGTGTGGCTTTAAAGAGTGCATGGATATGAGGTTTGTCCAATCACTTATGCTTTTAAGCCATGGGTATTTCTTCTTTCCAATTAGGCCCTTTCCAATTAGGTGATGTTGGCGACAATTCTGGCATACTGCTCTCGATCTTGTGTGGCTTTAAAGAGTGCATGGATATGAGGTTTGTCCAATCACTTATGCTTTTAAGCCATGAGTATTTCTTCCGATGCCCCGTGTTCCTCCTATCTTCCTTTCCATAATAAGTTTTAAGAACTGGTACTTGGAATTTCAAAATATATGACCCAGATAAGCAGTTTTTTTTCTTTTTATTATTGGCAGTAATTCTCGTTCTCTGCCCATTTGATTTAATACTTCGACATTTGTTGTGTTATCTGTCCAGGGAATTTTAAGTAGTGTTCTAAATTCCCATATTTCAAAAGCCACCAATCGGTTTATCACATTGGCCTTTATGGTCCAGGTTTCTACTCCATATAGCAGTTTGGAGTAAATGTAAATATTTTACAAAGCGATATCGAAGCGTTAAGTTAAGGCTGCTGTTGCTTAGCAAGGTTCTTATATTAGTAAATGCTGTTCTGGCTTGCTCAATCCTGCTACGTATCTCTATGTCTGGATCAAGATCTTCAGTTATCCAACTACCGAGATATCTGAACTTGGGAACCTTTTTAATGTTCTTATTGTTTACTCTTATATTTAATTGCATATTTCGTGTTCTACTAACTACCATTACCTTCGTCTTGTCTATATTAATCTTCAAGCCTAGTCGTTTTCCTTCAATGTTTATTCTATCTATTAGTCGTTGTAGCGCTTCTTGGCTATCAGCTAATATGACTGTATCATCAGCATAGCGAAGGTTACTAATAGTATGTCCGTTAATTTTGATTCCATCTTCAGTGTCAGTTAAGGCTCTATCGAAAATCGTTTCAGAGTAAAGATTAAAAAAGGCGCGTGACAGAACACAACCCTGTCGTACACCTTTTTCGATTAAGAAATATCTATCGAACATTCCTGGAGCAATCTTACTAATTCTGAATGATTAACACAATCGACCGCTTTCTGGTAATCTATAAAGCATAGGAAGACATCTTTTTGCTAATCTCTGCATTTCTGAAGTAGGACAGTTAAGCTATAAAGTGCTTCTCTTGTGCCAAATCCTTGTCTGAAACCGAACTGTGTGGGGCTAATGTGCGGTGTTCCGCCTTTCAAGTACGTTTTTTGTTAAATTCTTCTTCTTTTTAAATGTTAAATGTTTTAGTTAAAATGTCAAAACAAAGCAATAAGCTGGTTCCGATACTGTTCAACATGATGCCTTTATAGTATCATGTCGAACATGATGCTAACGCATCATATAAAGTTTATAGGTTTTATTTTATATTACGTAATTATATTTTTTAACCCAATTTTTTGACAACTACTGGGCAAAATTTTTTAATTAGACTATATATTATTTGAGATCAAATTCATCATCATCACTAGTTTGACAATCTTTTATGGGTCTTAGCTTGTATGTTTTTTTGGTGTTTGGT